GAAAAAAAAAAAAAAAAAAAACTCCGAGCCAACACCAAAGCTTTGCACTAACACCACCTCGATTCTCAGCCTCAAATGCTTTGAATCACTACTCTAAGGATCAACAAGAACTTTCTAAGCCTTTGGGAAATCTAGAAAGTAGAAGAAGAAGGATCAAACTCTAGAGCTTCTTTCTCTAGTTTATCTTTCAAGGATTATTTAGAATTGAATTTATGAAACTCAATTCTAAAAAGAAACCTTATATATTCTTCCCCTCAGGATCAAATTGGTACTCTACCTAGAGAAACTCTTTATACACCCAAAACTCTTCAAGAGTTCTTCAACTCCCAAAGCTCTAGAGTCACCCTTTAGATTGACAAGATCACATTTAATATTATAGATATTTGTAGATTGAGAAGCTACAAAAATTAAACATATAAAAATGAGACTAAAATGAATGTCATGTTTTACCAATGCATAACATGTATTAATTTATGAATCTAGTGACAAAACTTGTCTGTCAATGAAAGTCCTATTCTATTAGACTGATCATATAACTTTATGATAAAATTATTAAATTATGTTCATTTTTTTAATTCCTGTGTATAAATTTAAAAATATAACTCAATATTTTGTCCTAATTAATCTTACTTATAAAAAAAATTCCTATGGATAGATTTTATTACATCAAGTATGATTAATTACAATTAATATTTCTAATGTGACCTTAAGACAATATATAGTTCTAATCAGTTAAAAATGTTTTGACTACTCTTTAATTTATTAAAATTATATTAATCACTAAAAATAAAAAATTGAATGAAGAGCTAAGCATTTACATAAACATTATTAATAATGAAAATAAAATAGATAACAATGCATACATACTATTCAACTTAATATTGCATGTACAATAACAACAAATTTATACATACAATATTTCAAAAGTATGCATGTGATTATTTAATAAATTACAAGTATAAATTACAAGTTCTAAATCATCATATAAAATATTTCAACTCAATATTGCATGCTCATATAAATATACAATTTTTCAATAAAATATTTCATACCTATTAGAATGCAAAAGAAAAATCTCACATAATAATAGTAAAGAGTCTTTATAAAAAAGTTTGAAAGAGAAACACATTACAAGTTAAAGGAATGATTTAGTGGTTGTTCCTTTGGTTCTACACATGAAGTAGTTGGATTTGATTCTTGCTAAATGTGTTTCATCCAGTTTTACCTTTCCCTTTTTTTATATTAAAAATGAAACTATATTAAAGGAAACATGCCAGGACTCGAAACCACACCCTAACACATACAAAGAGCAAAATTATAAAAAGAACTATTGGTGCATTCATTAATAGGACAAAACAAAATGCTAGAACCAGATCGTGTACTGTTCAACCTTAAGTCGTCTGGTTGAGACCAAAAACTAAATGCTCATTCACTAAAAAAAGGAAAGAAAAAAAAACCTCCATGGTAGAACATCAATACAAGCAAGACAAAGGCTTTACGTGACTTTGATATCAAATGTTAGAAATTTTACTGATCCAAACATATTAAACATGAAAAACAACATATTCAGATCAAGTGAAAGCAAAAATAAGAATCACGAAAAATCAATCTCTAGATATTGTTATCTACTATGAGCTCAGTTCTATATTGTTCTTTTCAAAATCCTTCCAACACAAATCCAAATCTTCACTTTTAATACATGATGGTGTTTTATACTATAGATAAGAGCATATTCATTGACTCTAAAAGAGATCAACACACTCCTTAAGTAGAGTTTTGGTCATCACAAAATTCAACAAAAAAAAAAAATATATGTAGTAAAATAATAAATATATTCAAATGTTGTTAATAGGGACAATGTGTTGAATCTAGACTTATAATGAATCACATACAAAGTAACTTCCACATAAAAATAGAGTATTTTCAAAATGAAAATATTCTCTTCAAAAGAAGGGCAGGCTTACTCCTATCTTCAAGGAAGTAACCAACATTACATGGTTGAATGCTTACAAGACATGTGACATTGGTTTAAGTTGAATCGACTGTTATTAACAATATATATGGACATTATTAACAATATAATTGAACAAATAAATTTGTAATACAAAAAATTTAAATTATCAATACTTTATACAGTTCTACTACATTTAAATATTTAACATTTCTTATTCGTACGAAATCAAAATATGGAAAATAAAAATCTTAGTGTAGTCGTATCTTTACTTACTTTTTATCTCATCTTCATAGTTGATTATTTAAAATATTTCAAATATGATATAAGAAATATTTATAAAAAATTTAATAAGATTATCTTCTTTATTACAACTTATATGTTAATGTACATAAATATATATGAATTTTTCTTCAATTAATTTTTTATTTTTATTTTAAACTCTAAATTTTAATAATAATAAAAGTAAATTATTTTTTTAATCATGTAAATTAAAAAAGACTTATCAAATAAATTAAGCAAAGACTTACACATGTATTAAAATTGTTAACTTATTTAAAATTAAAGTTGTTGATCTATTTAATGTTATTAATATAAAATAAATTTTTAAATAAACTAAAATTGACTAATAGTTATGCCTAACTTTTAAAATGGTTATATCTAATTTTTTAAAAAGCTAAATTAAATTTATAAAAAAAAATTATAATAAATAATAGATTAGATTTACTGAATCCCCACGATAATTTGAAACATTAATTATGGATTTGGGACTAATGAAAAAATTACCCACCTACCGACTTCCCAAAAAAAAAGATAAGAAAATTGAAGAGCCACCACCATATATAGCCATATGCAGTTTATTACCTTGGTTGGTGGTTGATGCAAGCTAAATAAATAGTAGTACTTTAGAAGTTTGAAGTTAATTTTCGAAGGAAAAAAAATGCAAAAATATTATCAACAAAGAGATAAACGAACACAGAGAAGAAAGGATCGAGAGATGGGTTCAAACGGTTCACACAGATTGCAGGCTTTGCTTCAACATTTCCAATATTCTCATTCCATGCCCAACAATTCGAATTCAAAACTAATCGTTTCCATGAGAGCTGCAGTTCTGATCTGCGTCTTCGAAGGTGCCGATGGGAATCTGCGAGTATTTCTAACCCAGCGAGCTTCTTCTATCGCAACCCACTCCAGTCTCTATCTCACACTTTCTGGTGTCAAGTTTAGGGTCTTTTTGACAGATACTCAAATGGGTTAGTGTTGTTGTTGTTGTTGCAGGTGAGGTTGCTTTGCCAGGTGGCAAGAGAGAAGAAGGCGATGCTGATGATGTACAAACAGCGTTGAGAGAGGCCAAGGAGGAGATTGGCTTGAACCCTTCTCTTGTTTCTGTTGTCACTCTTCTCCAACCCTTCCAAACTAACGTAATTATCTTTAGCATTAATTGGTTCCTCGACTTTAATTTGAATATTGTGTAGTTAGGGCATCTTTATCTCTATTTCTTAAATTCCTAACCAACATTACAAAACTTGTTTTATCTTGTGGATCCTCTAAGATAAGCTTTATTTAAGCGTCTTTCTTCGCCTAACTCTAATATCGTAGTTAATACATGTGCCGACTCAATTACTAACGATCAAGTGTTTTTTAATTGCAGTATGGCGTTACAGTAATACCTGTGGTTGGAATACTGTCCGACAGGGATGCATTTTCACCAGTTTTAGCTTCGGCTGAGGTTAAGGCAATATTTGATGTTCCACTGGAAATGTTCCTTAAGGTTTATACTTGAGTTCCATTTCTCACTTATATTTATTCTCTCTTTTTTTGGGAGGAAAATTTATGTATACTTGGAGTGTTTTGATCACATATATATGATAAGGTAAACTTACTTGTGAGTTCATGGTTTGATTGCAGAATGATAATAGAAGAGCTGAGGAAAAGGAAAAGATGGGAGAGAAGTATCTTATACATTATTTTGATTATGAGAATGAAAATAAGAAGTATGTGATATGGGGTATTACTGCTTCGATCTTAACTAGCGCAGCTACCCTTTTACTTCAACAGCCACCAGCATTTCTAGAGCAGAGACCTAAAAATTTGGGGAGGAATCACGGAAAGTGACTTCAAAATACTACACAAAATTAGTTCCAAAGTCTAATTGTATTGCATGTCAGCATGTAATGTATACGTTGCGCTGCTACAGAAACCCGTAAGTAACCCGTACGGCTGTTTGAATAAACTTGGAGCCCTTTTTTAAGATAAAAATTGAAATAAATTATTTTAAAAGTTAAATTTTGCTTTTTCATAATATAAAAACAAGATTTTAAATAAATTAATAGGAGATAATTTTTATAAATTAGTTTATGAATAAGTTATTTTAATTTATAAAAAAATTATTTTATTTTATTTTTTTTCTGTTTGAATAAACTTTTTCAAAAATACTCCTAAAAGAGAGAAATAAATAAAATAAAATTATTTTTTTATTACCTAAAATTAATTTATACATAAGCTCATATATATTAATATCTTTCGAATTTTATTTTTTGTTCTGGTATAAGTTGGTCAATTATATGGAGAATTTAATTTTAATTTTTTTTATTTTTCTCTACTGCAAGTTTTTTTTTTTTTTTTAGAAGTTTACTTGAACAAATTCTAAGTTATTTTTGTGTGATTTTCCCTGAGTTTTTTTTTTGTATTAAGCTTCTGGATGTGAAGGGTGATTCCATGATTGTTGAATAATTTTTTAGTAAAAAATAATTTTAATTTCTTTTAGAAAATTGTGAAAAATCATTGCATAATACCATACACTAACAACTAGAGTTTTTGACTTATTAATATAAATAACAAAGACAAAATCAGTCCACATGTCTATACCTATAGCGTGCTAAAAATATTAAGGGGTATTGAGCTTTTTTCTTTCAAAACTGAGTTAAAAATGGGAGAAAAAAAAATCAATTATTTTAAATTATACTTTTTTTTACAAATAAGTATCATAAATTTTTATTTTATCTTAATTAATCTTTAAATTTTATCAGATTTGTAAATAGATATTATAAACTTTAATTAATCCTTAAACTTTACTTCTTTTATAAGTCAACACCCACAATTTTAATTTCATTCTAATTAATATTAATATTTGATAATTTATTATTATTTTTTTAAAAATTATTATTAAATTAGAGTTAAATTATTTATCGTAAATTTCAATCACTCATTAATTTTTTTCTTTTTTATATTAGAATTTTTTTCTTCAAAATATGAGTTTAGAAAAAATATATATATATAAAAGGATGATAAAAACAATAAAAAGTAGGCTTTATTTGATTTTTCTTCTTCTAAATTATATATGGTATTTTAATATATATGAAAATAAAACTAATATATATATACCAAAAAATTAATAAATAAGTGAGATTTAAAATAAATAAATGATTAATATTTTCTTTATCAGTAATTTAATCTCAGTGTAATATAAGGGACTTATAAAAAAATAATTAAGATAAAATTATAATTGAGGTGTTTATTTGTAAAAATGGTAAAGTAGTTTAAGGATAAATTATAATAAAATTAAAGTTTATGATATCTATTTGCTAACAAGACAAAGTTTAAGGATCAATTGGAATAAACTTAAAGTTTGTGGTATTTATTTACAAAAAATATAAACTTTAAGGGGTTTAAATACTTTTTTCTCCTAAAAATTGTAATCCAAATTCTAAATATATGGGAGTGAGAGTTAACCCACCATGAATATAAAAATAAAATATAATAAATGGGTTTATAAAAATAAGAGGAAAAAAGTATTTAACCTTCAATCATTTAATTAATCAATACAACTATATACTATTGAATTTGAACAATATGTTCAAATTAATGATATTCATTAATTGGGAGAATTGCAAAATATATTTTTAATATATGTTTAAAATTTTGATATTTTATTAAAAATAAAAATTTGTTAAAATTTTGATATTTTTAATATTAAATTTTATTAAAAATAAACATTTGTTAAATTTTAATAATTTTAATAATTTTAACAATATATAATATTTAATAATTAAAAATATAAATATTGATAAATTATGCATCAATATTGATAAATAAAAAAGATAAAAGAAAAAATAAAGAAAAGAAGAAATAAATGAAAGTGATGAAAAAAAGAGAAAAAGAATATGAGATAAAAAGACACAAGAAGAGAGAGAAAGAAAGAAAGGAAAAAGAGACCGGAGAAAAAAAAAAAAGAAATAAGGAAGAGACACAAAGAGGAGAAAGAGAGAAAAGAGAAAATGAGAGGAAAAATAAAAAAATTAAAATAATAATAATAGTAATAATAATTTATAAAAATAATAAATAAATAATAAAAAAAAAAGAACGAAGCAAAAGGTGAAAGAGGAATAAATGAGAAAAAGAAATCATGCAAAATCTCAATAATTTTGATGAGATTATTAGATGAGTAAATTATATGTAAATTCTATTAAAAAGTGTCATGAAATCTATCGATTGAAATAATTCATTAAAATCTTTTTATTTTTTAATATCATCATATTTCTTAAGTGCAAACTTTTTCTGCTATTTTTCTAAATGCTTCAACTTTTTCAACATGTATGAAGCTTGCCTTTTTCTGTTTTATCTTTTGTTATCATCATTGGTGGATCCCATGATGATGTTATTTGCTTAATATTTATTGATGAGTATTATTTTGGAAGCCACTCCTGGCTTTGGTAAGGAAACCACTCCTAGTCTTGACATTCTCTTGAATCATCCTTCATTCAATTGAGGAATAGGGTGTGATGGCCTCTTCATGCTTGTGGACTTGATTATTCTTCCTCGTCCGATTCTATCCCATCTTGCTGTTGACATGTCTTTTGTTTCTTGGTGGCTATATGAAACCACTTGTATGGAATGCCCTTGTTGGGGCTATGCTTTTTGACATGATCTTGGCTTTAAGGCACTGTCTAGTTGTTGATCTTTTTTACGAGTGCTTCGGCCTCTTGATTCCTCCGACAAGGGATG